TGGGGGGGGGCGATTATCTAGCAGGGAGCAGACGCTCAGCTGACGATGGTCGATTTCGAGTTCCACAGACGCGTTACCGGCACCGGACCAAGAAGACCGACACAAGAAGCCAGGAGGACGAGCAGGCCAACTTTGCGGTTCGTTACCGTAATCGAGGTGTGGAATGATCTCTTGATCGTACGCATTTTCCTCTGGATGCTGTCGAGATGAACGATAAAAATACGAGACCTCTAGGCTTGATTAGATGTGGTCGTGACGTTCAAGGCTGCATGGAGCCGCTTCTTGTGGTCACATCCATACAAACTATCTAGCGCTGTCTGTCTCCTCATTACGCTGGGGAGTTGAAAACCGTGATACGGGGAGTGACGGAGGAAGAGACGGAGGGCTGGGAGCCCTTGACCTTCTTCTGTCAGCAGGGCTAAAAGGACCAGAAGCAGCAGCATCGATCTCGTCCTCGTTCTCTTCCTCATCCTGGATGTCCATCAACTCATCCGGCGGTGCCATTTCCTCTATCATTCCCGGAAGAACAATCACAAGGGACCTTTCAAAGGTCTCGACATCCACGGACTGTGCTCGTGGAGTCCGTATTGGTGTTGAACCGACCGACTCGCTTTTATCCGTGCTGTATTCGGAATGCTCATTCGATAACTCCGGCGTACTCCGGTTACTATCGAACTTGAACGTGTCCGCGTCCGTCAGTTCAGACCCTGGCACCAGCGGGCTCCAATCACAAGGCAATAGTGTATCGAAGAGGTTATCCTCCTCTTCTTCTTCCGTTTTGATCTGTACCAACTCAACTCCAATGGCCGGGGAATCATCTATCGTCGACCTTACAGGTGCACGATCTGGAGATGGCGACCTCGGCGTCCTGCTCCGCTCGCCTCTTCCTGAGTTTGCGGGGCCATCTGAGAAGACGATGCTGCGTGATCGCAGCTGCTTAACAATAGTGGCATTCATCGTACTGTCAATCGATGTAGAATGGGCGTTGGAAGGCCCCGCAACGCTTTCCTCATTAATATGCTGCCTCTTCCTTGGCCTATTCTCGTCTTCTTCGCCATCTACGTCCTCAACTCGGCGCTTGCCGCCTGCCTGGACAGTACGACCTTGAGTAGTTGCTCTTGCAGTTTTTCTGCGACTCCACCCATGACCACGTTTTTTACGAGACTTCGGCTTGGGAGGAGGTGGGAAGGAAGGATTCGGAAGGTCTAGACCTTATGTCAGTTCAATGCTGCATTTGTGTATGGTGGTCTAACTCACCTTCGCAAGGATCTTGTGAGCTTTTGCTGGTAGATCCCGAGGCCAGTGGCTGGCTATCAAGGATCTCAGCTGAATAAATATTTCAATGAGGAATTTTGACGTGGAATGAGGAAGATGACTTACCATTTCTTGTACTTTCTGTTTCGACATGCGCAGCTTGCACAGTTTGGGTGTTAGAGGACTGGTCCTCTGTAATTATGTTCGGTTGAAAAGCACCGGCGCTTTCCGTGCTGATGCTGAAAGCATTGGTGCGGACGTTGGCGGAGCCTTCAGCCGCATTGTTATAGACGGCAGTGCCCTCTCTGGCCATTGATCGCAGGCGGTTTCCAGAGTGCGCAATACGCGAACGCCTTGAATGCGTTAATGTCGTCTCATTACTGACTGTCGTTTCCATGTTTGCGGTCCGAGTGGCTGCTAGTTGCTTCCACATTGCGCGAGTGAGTACCATTGTGCTCTATTGTGAAAATGACGCGTCCGAAGGGAGGGGGTCGAGGAACTCTTGTGTGGGGAGTGGGGGAATTGGACTGACTTGGTTGACTTTGAGAGCCACGCTCTTTATATGCTTTCACGATAGGGTCTGAGCCTCATCAAGGCACATCAGTACTAATCTAACCATCTTCGTTAACCATTGTCTTCTAGGTCTCATCATCGCCTATTTTTCAAGGGCGGTTATTCCCGAGGCCACGATCGGTGAGTATTGAAGGAAATGCAGTGCAATTTTTTGACGTGCGTGGTCTTATTATATTTTTCTTTTCTTCTTCTTTGGGAAAGCCTCGTGCTTCCACCGATCCTATGGAGAATGGAGGGGGGATTACGGGTTGATGGGATTGGATTGTCTTTAGCTTGCATGACACTTGTTCTTTCGTAGCCGAATTGTCCAGTCTGAGCTATGCTTCTGGTCAGGAGATACTGTCGTAAGATCCCGGTCCTTGAACAATACAATTGTACTTCTCCCTTTTGACCCCTCGAATGATCTAGGGTTATGGCGCCGAGGACTCGTACGGCAACTATTTGTTTTGGCTTTATCCATAGATTTTTCTTTAGAAAGTACTCCCGTTTGACGTTGAGGAGTCTGTCAGCAGTTTCTTGTTAACAGCGCGGGAGACCCTTGGTGTATTCTCTCGATCCAGATACTCCTCACTTATAATAAGAATGGAACAAGGGGCTTGTACACGGACACAGCGCAACGCTTGAGCCTCGCGTTTTGACACTCAATATACTCCTTTTTTTAAATCTTAAAAGGAGGAACACCCAGTCATTCTCTGTTTTTGACTCATACCCCTCTTTTTCTAGCTGAGCACTTTGCGCCAGCAGGCGAGTAGCGATCCACTGGAAGGGGGAACTGGAAGTCTGGACAGGAAAGCAGAAGCAGTACATGTGTTCATTCTATATTTAGAAATTCGCTGTTGGTGGCTCGAAAGCGTGAGAAAAATGGGCCTTACTCGCACCGTTGACTTAGGCCCTGTTCGGTACAAATTTTAAGGAAATGTTAAGCTGTAATAGCTTACATGGTGACCATTGTATAGTTTTTGCAGATGAGCCCTGAGTCCTACAGCTCTTTTTTTGGTTAGCTCCAACTAGCTACCCTATAATTCTACTTGTATTTTACTAAGTCAAATATTAAGTACTTTCCCCAATAAAAATACATACTCTCCTCCCTAAGCTTAATTAATCCTAATCCTAGCTCTAACACTCAAGCTTATCCTAAACCTAATAAGGGGGGGGGGGATAAGGGGGTAGGAGGGTTTTACTCTTCTAAACTCTCTTTCTAACTTCTTACTGTTACAGTTCTCTACTCTTGTACCTTCAGTTCTAAGGGTTCCACACCCTTCTGTACCAGAACTCAGGACTTCTGTCCCTCAGAGGTGTTGTCTATAGACTATATGTGTACTGACTCTTACTACTACCCTTCCTTACTTCATCATTCTATTCCTTTGACCACTCCTTCATTCTTTGTTCATTCTATAGTCTCTTACCCTTTGTCTATCCCTTTATTCTTTGTACCTTTATCTTTGACCTTCCTTTCTTTCATTCTTTGTGGCTTATCATTCTTAGTAGCTCATACTCCCTGAGTACTCTTGTGTAGTTTAGTATATATAAGTGTACAAGATTAGACTGGTTCTGTAGTCTTAATCTTGTCTACTCTAGGTAGTCCTGTACTCTTAGGCTTACTCTATATACTCTACTCTTGTCTCACTCTCTCTCTCTGCCTGTTCTGCAAGTTCTGACTATGTTCTAGTGCTTGTGTTCTGTATTTCTGTTGTATAGGATAGTTGTAGCCTGGGTCCTCTTACTGAGCCTTTAGGTCCTCTCTACACTGTTACTGACATCAGATTAAGACTACTCATTACTACCCTACAACTCTCCTACATTTCAAGCATTAGTACTTACTATTGTGTTGATCTCTTTTCTTTGTCTCAACCCTTTTACATTTTTAAATTTTAAACTTTTTAAACCCTTTTAAACTTTTACCACCCTTCTTCTATTCATTACCCCTTTTAGTTTAGTACTGATTCCTTTATAGTGTAAACATGAACCCTTCTATGCCAACTGCCACCCCTACTGTCCTG